AAAATAAAATAAGATTGTTATAGGTTGCTAAGTAAATAAAATTTTAAAATGAAAAAAGTAATTCAACATTGAGATCAATAAAGTCAAAAATGTAAGTAAAAAAATTCCTATATTAATTGCAAATAAAAATTATTGAATAATTTTGTACCTGCCCTAACTATCCTTGGTATAAACTAAGATATTTTTGTGCATAATATATAAACAATAAAAAAGCTAGAAAAAGTTACAACAAAATTCATTATTGACTTTCTACGCTGAGTGGAAAAATTGTATGAAAATTATTGCAGTAGATATTTTAGAAGAAAATGAAACATCTTAATCTTAGTGTTATTTCAGACCAGTAATGATAACCCAATAGTTATATTAAATAACATTTGTGAACAAATCGTAGAGTACTATTTGCCTTTTATTTTCTGCGTAGGTTTTTATATAAAACATTCAGTCTCATGATTCCCAACGCGCTTTCTTCGGTAATCGGTCACTTTCCTTTCTTGGTGAATAATGTATTTATTAAATTCGAAACAGTATAAAAAATAAAATAATTTATACGATGTTTAAAAATTGAATAGCTTCAATAATATTTTATAATATACCACAATCAATATTATTATGCCCATATGTAAACACTATAGTTGGGATAATTACAAGTACAATTTTATAAATATATTTCATATGTAACTCGTGAGTGTCGTGATGTCTAAATTTTTGTATTGAACTTTTTGTTAACTTGTATTGAAATATAAATTATCTGTATTTTTAGCCCTTTGCACATCTGTTAAATATGACATCGTCTTAAGTGGCGGCGAGGGGAAACGGAGCGGGGAGAGGGCTCGCAATCCCTCTCATTTAACACCGCTCCACTTCTCTGTAGGTGTTTGCCGAAGCGATTCCAACGGATCCTCCTTTTATGGTGCTACTTACGGTCTCATAGTGATTCGCGGTTTTATTTTGGACGGCTCATGAAGCCGCGCGCACATTTTTCATGCTGCGAAAAGCGAACACAGTAATCTTTGCATTTATACCATGATCCTCTATTGATTTTAGATTTTTAGTGGAAAACGAAACGAATGAAATGGGTGTGAATGGAGACGGGCTCGCTGAAAGCCGATGTAAGCTCCGCTATGATATAAACATCCATTCAGTTGGGCATATATCACAAACTCAAAAGTTAACAGATATTTTTATATCTGATATTATATTTTAGAACTGAACTATTTTTAAATTTAATCCATCAATTTTAAATTTTTAAATAACAAATATTCTTATAAGTCAAATTGGAAAAATTTGCAACTGATAAATCATGTTCACTCCGAGAAACAGCAACTCGGCTTTGAAACTTGGCCCGTAAAATTATGATAAAAGGTTTTGTTACGAGTAAAATAATATAAGGAAATTGCCTCTAAACACTTAAGAAATAAGGTATTATCATCAATTTTCAAGTTACTTTAGAAATGTCCTCGTTTAGAGGAAGACATTTTAAGTAACATGAAATAATTAATCTTTATACAAGCAATCAAGATAAATTCAACAATTTTTCTCCCTTACATCTCCTTACATAAATTCCAATATTTTTAACGATACATAAACTTGCCACTTTTTTTTTGTAGATATCCTCATTTCCCTTAAGCCTAAAAGAAAGAAAAACAAAAGAAAGGAGACCTACCATTAAAATAAATAAAAGGAAATAAAGCACCGACCGCAAATTATTTCACTTACCTACTTCTTTTTATAAAAATGCGAACGACGCATTAAATTTTGGGGAGAAAGGAAACTCCCTTGTAAGCAATATCGAGGAGGCAAATTTTTCAGATATTGCCTTCAGGTAGCGCACATTTATTATGTACCCGAATATATTACTCTTGATTCATTGACTTTCGATATTGATTTACTTTGCTTGCATAAGCTGTAGTTGGGGAAAGTCCGTGGCGAGCAAACTAAACGGCCTTTGATCTGAAGAATTAGGGGTGAAGTTTGTCTGTACGGACACTTTGAAACATAGGATAAGTTGCAGAGAGTGGCGTAGCTACCAAATCTAAATCGACGCAAACATAAGCAGTAGTCGACGACAAATCTCACAGCACTCACCTATATACTATACCTACGTTTTAAGAATATAGTATTTTTTTATTATCGATATGATATAGTATTTTTGGGTCTGCCTGTAAAGAAGCTTCAAATAAAACTTTGCAATATCATTTTTTTTTTATTATTTTCTGGCTATTGCTATTTTGCTATCTGTACACAATATCTAGGCTTGCAAGGTACACAGTCTCTTAATATCGTTGTTTACTGCGGCAACTTCTAAACTGTTATCACTTTGAGGACACCGACCGACGGCGATGTAACATCTCGCTCTTGCCGATGTCCACTTGATTTACGGTAACGATAAGGTGTCGACCTAGAAACTTTGCTATTCCCTATACCGCTGACCATTTAAAATAAGACAAAAAATATATATACTCCTATTTGTCTTTAATCTTAATTAAACCTTGAAATAGGCTACATAAATTTCATTTTGTATTACGTAAAATCTAATTAATTATTAAAGTTTGAAGAATTTCAAATTGTTCTTGAATTATTTAAACCTGACTGACCCGGTGAATTTCCTATCACCTAAAAACGACATCCAATAATTTTTATTCCCGAAATTTTATACAAAACCATTCATACAAACTGTATTACAAATATATTTTTCTTGATAATCTTTATATTACATTTTCCAATGTTGTTCTGCTATTAAAGAGAAGATAAATGCAACAAATTAACCTATATTTATTGTGAATACTTAACACAAACTATATAATAGCAGTTTAAAGCACGATAAAATAAAATTAAAGTCAGTCCATTCAAATAGGGATAAACTAAAGACATCTACATTGGATTTGCGTGAGAGCTGCACACGTAATAGCAAGTTGCATTCAAATACCAGCTGAGTCAACCTAATATCGATACTGAGGGTATTATTTCTGGGCGCAGAGTCTAATATTGAGTTGTGAAACCGACGATTTACCTAACAGGAACGACGTTAACAGAGCAACTTTAGCTTGACACTTTGACAACTTATTTCTTGTCTCCAGAGTTGCTAAGCCACTCAGTTTGTGTATATAGTGGCTTGATTGTTGTTCCGTCGGATAGTGATTGTAAAGCGATCGACTTTTCATGATCTACGATATTTGATATGTGTAGAATAAAAATTCAATCTCTGGTGGTAAAGTATTTTTTTGTATTGAAGTTGTCCTGGTGAGCACATTCTTACTTTGCAAGTAGTATATAGGTCATCAAGTCTATACAAAATAAATTTTATATTTTAATAACGTTTTTAATTTTATATGTGGATATTAAAAATATATATATAATATTCAAATCAAAAATCATTTATTCATGTAGGACATCTTAGCCGCTAGTATTTTTTTTTTATATTTTTCTTTTCATATTCAATGTTCTTCAAATATACTATGTTAATTAAAAGAACTAAATGCTTTTAATTTTTATTTATCTATACCGTAAATTTTTAAATAATATGAATACATTCTTAATTCGTCAATAGATATTGCACAAATAATAATGGGGAGACGCTATTCCTGAATACGTATCAAAATATTCGAGGTATGTCTGTAGCAATACAAGCATTAAAGGAATTTAGTTTAGTATCCTGTTAAAGTGAATACCGAAATCCTCACTCATTCAACTCTACCAAATGCTTAATTCAGTTGGAATAATTCGAGTTCTATTGTTAAGTTCCTAAATTTGAAATCCAACATTTAACTACTTACAATTCAAAGGTAACCGCAAATTTCGAAACGAGTATGGTTCTCTATGGAACGAAACTTATTTGCAAACCGATAACTTTTAGCACGTTTCTATGTAGTCGGTAGTTACCTACACCGCCACCTGACTGACCGCTCTTCCTAACTATGCAATAAAAGCATTCCATGATTTCTGACCCCTACAACATATTTTTTATATTTTCAACGCAACTTCAAATAGAAAGAAGTTTTTAATTTGTATGCATTATTATATTTGATAAATCCTTTCTTAATTAATAGTTTAATTACATTTGTGAGTTATTTAGAATAAAATTATAAATTACAAATATTTTGAATACAACGGATAACAATGTAACATTCTAAGTAAAAAAACACATAAGTAACACATATATTTAAACATTCAACCTAGGATGTAAAAGTATGTATGTACATATATGTGTGTAATCTTACAAAGTAACCTAAAAAAAACAAACATAGCTTACAATAATTTTAATTAACTAACTGTAAACCTTGACGTCCCCACGCGAATCAAAACAGAAAGCAGACTATAGGTATGTTAATTTTGGACTTCCTCCATATTTATGCCGAATTTAATTCAAATTTGTCAGTGGATAAAGTGCATGCAAATATTTATGTAAACTTTTACATATAATATTTCTAGGATTATATTACTACAGTTACGATAACTAATTTAATATATCAAATTAATTAATTAAATCAATGACGTATCATCTGGAGTACTAGGATATTGAATTTATCGAGGTTCAGTTCATGGCTGCTTTATAATAATCTTTTAATGTAAGTAGTAAGTACTATTTATTTTTTGTTAACTACTGATTCGTTCCGGTTACACGCGGATATTTCAATCAATTTATATAAATCCTTAACGAACTATATACCAAAACCTATCTTAGAAAGCACTCTGATGATAGATGAAAACCGTATGGAAAACAGTTCAGTAGTTTTTGAAATTATCGCAAATATCCAGACAGACGTGTAGAAGGACTACAAAATCCTTCGTACTACTAAGTTATTTATATCTTATAGATATAATACATATACATATTTAGAAGTAATGCTAGCTATTATATCAATAAATAATCAATTATTCTATTTAATCTGTACATATAATATTTTAATAAAGAGTGTATTATATAATATTTATATGATAGAAAGTTATCATAGGTCAATAGAATGAATGTTTATAATAAAAGTAAGTTATATCAAACCTACCTCGACCGCCTCGTTGTTGGATCTTTCATAACCATAACTTCTGTGATTTCCCCGAATTTGCTAAAGTAGTCCCGAAGACTTTCTGCAAAGAAGAGAAATAACATTTCTATTTGATTATTAGGTTTATATATTTATACTCTTAAAAGTTAGAAACACAAATATACAATTTCATATTGCAGAGAATTTGATTTAAAAGGGAATTCCCTGCAAATCAATATACATACATAGCAATAATGTTCTATTTTATATATAAAGTACAAGAAATTAAATTATTGTCATTGTTGCAAATTAGTTTTAGTAATTATTAAAAAAGATCAAAATAATAATTATCTTTATTTAAAATTTACTACGATATTACCTACATGTTTTGATATTAATGAATATTTGGTATAAGCGCGGTTCGCTATACGGCGCCATTACACTACTTGACTTAATAGAGTTTTAAAATTTAAAACTCAATTGATTCTACAAGTGTTTGATCTTTTCAGAATATATACGGAACACTAAAGAATGTCAGCGTTGATTAATGGTGAAGTCAGCATGCAATCGTTACTTTTCATTACTAGTTCGAAGTGCACAACCGAAGGCTAGCCAGCGACGGCCAGATTAGAAAAGTTCTATCTGTAACAAGTCGAAAATCGACTTTAAAAGCAAGTACTAAAATTTGGTTTTAGAAGCGCTACTACGGGATTGAAGGCAACTTTAAATTGGAATGTATCCCGCAATAAGCCTCTCGTGATTGGCCTGTTTGTTCTTAATTAGTATTAATCGGAACTTTACAACCAACAGTAACTTAGAGTATTGTAAAATATTGCCTTAATTTTGAAATAACAGCAAAGAATGAGCTCTTTAATACTACCTAACACGTGAATTACTTTTCAGTTAATGTCGGAGTATTTTTTTTTATTATTTAATAATGTTATTATTGAACGCAGACACAGATTAAGTTTCAATTAATTACAAAAATACATTTCAACTTTCAAAGCTTTAAAACTTGTAAATTGGATACATTTTTTTATAGAACATGTAAAATATGTACTACAAATGAACATAGATGATTATTTTTGTTGCACTCTCATACTAAAACTGCAGCATTTTTTATGGAATAAAAATTAATGCTTACGTACATTTCAGCAAAATACATATGTATGTATTAATTTTTATGCATTAAGCAAATTACGTATTATCTATTTACATAACATCAAGATTAATATAAGTAATGCATCCGTTACTGACCGGAAATTATGTAAAATATATCTAAAAACACGGACGTGGGAAATCAGCATATTCATTTTAGAGGGGCCTACCCACCCTATCCATTAGTGAGTCATACAGCGCGGTGCGGTCGCAAACAAATCCGCGGATGCTCCTTGCATATATTTATACGAGACGTTTTAACAAGCCAATATAAATAAGGGAACGCGATACTAAATACTCGAGGTTCGCGTACAAGCAAATCTCTTGTGTCACGATAAACAACCGGAACGGTTGAGTCCTGTCGAGCGTGCTCGCTCAAACATTCTGTCTGACGACTCTTTCAGTCATTTGGAGGGAACGACTCTTATCGTCTTACTTTTATAGACTGCGAATCGAAAAGGCTTCGACGTTACAAAACGAGACCCTTCTATTGTGTGAAAGTGTTGAGTGAATGTACCATGAACGTTCTTTGTCGTTGTACCAATACGTTACGTTTTATGTTACATACTTGGAAAAATACCTTCATTTCTCTAATATGCAGGAGCATTCCATTTTTCAATGTTATCAATGAATAATTGTTGCTATTCTGATGTTGACTACTTTTTATTCTTTAAATATATTAGTGAAAGTTGCGTAGCAACATTGTAAATATTGACTATGTTATCTACATTGGACTAGTATGGACTATGTTATGAAATATCGCCATTCATGTAAATAATTAAAAAGTGTATTTCTAATAGCACTTTTCTTATTGAATTGTTGTTAAGAAAATGGAAGAAACGTTTAAATATGATATTATTATCGGTATACAATAATTGCTTTTCTCGAAATTAATGCAAAAATGTATAAAATAGTGGCTTTATGAAATAAAGTTTCGCTCAACTTGAATTCGGACTCATTCTGTTTAATGAATGTGCATCCCAAAGTTTCAAACTGCTGAATGTACTTTATGTTCGTATTTGTATCTTGGTACTAAGTTTTATTTATTTATGTGTGTAGATTCTGTTTTATTACTACATTACTAATTAACCGACTTCAAAAAGAAAAAAGTTCTTACTCAAAATGACTGTTTATTATCACTATACTCAAAACGATATTTTTGTGTATTATGTTAGACAGTAAATTCTATTCAATTTAACTTTTTTCTATTTAAACACCGAATTTCTTCATTTAGTTCTTCACTTATCAATTAGATTACTAACACTACTAACCAAATTTTATTACAAATTTATTATAAATTTACTATCAAAGCAATTAGTTAACTAATTTATGAGCAGTAAATGTAAATACCCATTCAATACAATGTTTATTTAAATTGTTAAGACAGTTTATTTATCATGTGCATTGACTGATATATTCCCGTTTACTTTCTGTGTAATAACTTTAGGCGAGGGGGTTACATTAGATATTATATTATTTCAAAGTACATGAATATCTGTATCCGGCGCATTAATTACGTAGTCAACAAAAACATGCCGTAATCCGCTAAACTAGAGAACCCTTATTTTGGATGTATATTTTATTTAGATGACGCCTACGAGGCAATACTGCGAAGGACAGCGGGTGGATTCGGCACAGTTGTTCAACCACCATAAAATTAGCATTTGGCTAGCTAGTAACATTTTCATCCAGAAACAAGTTGTATGGGCACCTGAATTATTCGACCGCACTTCTCAAGAAATTGAGATTCGAGATTTTATTACTAAAAAGTGAATGTTGTTTTGTTTTTTTCCGTCCATATATCAAACCACCACTATTCCTTATATTCCATTTTGAGCAATACAAGTAAAATTGTAATATTACTTAGGTACGTCTATCTAATTTATAATAAAATATATTATTGTTGAGCGTATTAACTCAATATTCGTGTACTTTTACTATTACTTTTAGTTTTATATTCCTTACTTGAGAATATATTAATTCCCCATAAAAACATATTTTACCCTCTTCATCATTTACTTTCGCATCATAGTATATGAATGTAAGATGTAATAATGAATAGGATCACGGACATATCGTTATCATGTATTCACGTTGGCAGTCCGGAGAACTAATGCCAAGCCACCGGACCTGATTTTATTACCTTATCGCACTCTTCAACCGAAAAACATAGAAAGCAAGCTGTCTGCGGTACTCAAATAGGTAAGACAGATAACATGCAGTCTACTTTGTATAAAGTCGACCTCGGTAAAAGATTTTGAAAATCATTGTATTCTTAATAAAAACATTTTATTTCCGTGTCAGTTTAATAGTAGTTTTATAATGATTAAAGTCGTTTCATTTGTGGAATAAAACCTCAACTTAGTTGTAGTGTCATAGTTTTAATTTATGCTGTTGTACTGTCTCCCATAACTAGAAGGGCGGAAGTCAGTTTAAACCAACTTTTCTTATTATTTTTCTGATTAAATTCATTACGGGTGCATTTTGTGAGAGCTTCCCCAGTAGACTGTATGTAAATTTATTAACTATTTGCTAAGCTCGTGCCTTTGCTCGCGACTATCCAATTACGAATTTATGCGGTTTATATATTTTTATATAATTAAAGTAAATCTGTATATCATAACAATTTTACTAATGACTTATGGCATGAATAGAATATATATTTTTTTAATTCTATATTTTCATATTAATTCTCTTGGATACTCATATATTTTATATGTCCGATAGTTTTAATTAATTTTCTTAAAATTAATTGCTAAGTTATTCGTATTGCTTAAAGATTAATAATAAAAATCTTAGACATACTAAAAGAATATTAACCCTGCCATAGTATTATATTAAATAGTGGTATAATGTAAAATAAATAAGCAAAGATGTGTACTAATAATAAGTGCATAAATAAACTGTATTATCACATTAAAAAATATTTTTACTCGCTAGCATTAATTTGATGATGGATTATAGTGGAGTACAATAATTATTATATAGTCAGCGGGTGTTGGGGTGCGACGCAGCACTTGCTCAACCACCATTAAATTGGAACTTGCCACATTTCCTGAACTAGCACCTTGCTACATATAATACCTATCCTCATTAAATTTAAAATAACTTCGAAATTAGATAGGTAGTTATCCAACAATTATATTTTATGCCACAAGAATGAGAACTTTATGGTTTAGTAGTTTACAACTCGACTTAACACCAAATATTGTAAATTCGAATATGGCCGAAACCAAAAATCTTTAATTTTATATTTCTGATTGAATCATCAGTGAAGCAAACATAAATAATAAACTGAACAATTTTGAAAGAAACGTTAAGCTCACCCGCTGTCATATACACACATGTAACATATGTAAGGTGAAATGTAAGCATATCAAGTGTTACATTAGCAACAGCATTGATATTTGACAGTACCCATTAAAATATATTATTATTAATATTTAAAATATAGGTATTATCAAAACTGAGTTCACGGATTGTCAAAACTTATTTTTAAACTTTCGCCTTTAGTATCGCGTTAATTAATAATATGGTTAAACGGGTTTTAACATGAATAATTTTAAGGCAAATAAGGGTATTTACCTCTGTCGATGTTTCGACTAGGTTATGTTAGGCGTGGTCACGAGCTGACTAGGGTAAAACAGCGTTTAACTATACTAATAATGATTGCAAAAATTAATACAATTTAAAGACAATGCGAATTCGTTAAGTTTTAATAAAATTTTGGCGTGACATGTGTATATCATGAATAAATAAAGTTTCCGTTGAATTCTTTTTGAGATAAGTTAGAAATAAAGTTTGTAAGCGTGTTTAGATGTTTGAAACTTTGTTATTCAATCACGCTTAAACAGCTGAAAATCCGCCCAAAATGATGTTCACACAGGTATCAACGGCATATAACAGAAAATATGTGAAATTATAAATACAGAAATAATAATAATA